CAGAAGACCAATAATTCAACTAGTTTACTACATAATTACAGTCTTTTTTTACTGTCCTCATCAGTGACTATCATCTGGAACCATATGGTTCCAATAGTGAGTTGTATATGAAAGATCAAGTTGACTCCGCATTTTCAGGTTCAGTTTAAGGGAAAATAGCATTTTCCATGAGTGTAATTGGAAAAGTATAACTTTTGGAGTGTAACTTCAGGTAAAGTTCACAAAAGGCCACAGGAGAATTGAATAACTAAAGAAAGGACACAGGGTTAAAAGCATGAACAGTACTACCTTTAATTGAAAAAAATAAAAAGCTGCTTTACCAAAGATACTTTTGCCCAAGGCTGCCAATTTAAAAATTTTGTATCAATACATGTAAAGACAAATAGTGTTAGTGAGAGAAAGTTAGTCTGAAGTCGGGTAGAAGGCAGGGCAGAGTAACACCTTAGGCCTCTGGTGGACATTAAATTAATGGTGCGATGGGATCTGAAGAATTTTTTTTTCCCAGATCTCAACAATCCCGTATCCTGCCATGACTGACATTCAATGTCTGGCATGGCAGGATACATGATTGTTAGAAACAGAGTGGGGGCGCGGAAATCCTCCCATCCTATTGCTCATCTGTTGTGGTATGCAGCTGGCTGTAAGGGTATACTGGGCTATGAGGAGCTATGGATGAGGAGCTCCCAGTTCCTGGCAGCACACATGTTGCATGCACTCCAGCACAAAAGCAGCTAGGAATTTGGGATTCCTGGGTCCCTAGCTGCCTATGCCACAAATCTGGCATTGGCTGCACAGGGTGGTTTTAAATGTCCCCACACAGGGAGATCCTATCAGCTCCCATATGGGGACATTTAAAGCCATGCTGTGCAGCCTGATGCTGGGCTCTATGCCATACATTTCAATTAAAGCCATTCAATTGCAAACCAGCCACAAAGATATTTCACATTGAATGTGGAACACATTTGTGAGTGGTTTGCCATTGTATGGTTTCATAAATTGGCTGAACCTGTGGCTTGTTATGGTTTATTGCATGATTATCATGTTAATTGTGCAATACATGCCTGCCAGGACTCTTAGAAATGAACTGATTCAGAGAAGCATAAGCTTTCATAAGTGACAGCCCACTTTGTCAGATGCTATGACAAAGTAAGCTGTTGCCTACAAAAGCTTATGCCTCTTTGAACCAGTTAGTCCCTAATGGAGTGGTTCTCAACTTTTTTTAGACTCAAGGCACCCCTGGGAAAATGCTAACTTTTAACTTACACTTGCCTTTTCACTATGACAAAGAATTCAGAAAGACCGCACCAGGGCAGAATGCTTTGACACTTAAACCCAGAAATTTCAAATAAGAATTATCTTCTGAATCAGATGTAGGTGCTTGCACACTTAACAGAGCTAATATTGTGTGGCACGCAACAGCACCCTTAAGAAAAATCTTAGGGCAACCAAGGGTGTTTCAGCAACCTGGTTAAGAATCATTGCTTTAAAGTGCTACCCTGCTTTCTGCCAATATTTTTAGTTAAATGGAAGCTGTTCACAGATTTAAAAGAAGATGCCATTATTAAAAAGCTAGATTTTAATTACAGTTTGATTCAAATTCTGAGATGTGTAAAGCCACAATGTTGGATCTGTATGTGCCTGGTTTTAGGAGTTTAAAATCCAGATTTTCTCATTTTTTGAGGGATGCGAGAAAGAAGAGAGTAGGTGGTTGCGGGGGAATTTTGTGTTCAGTTTTCCCAAATGGTTCACTATTGGTTTTGACCAACTTCCACTGATATGCAGACATGGGCTCTGCATGGTTTCCAGCCAGTTCACCTTGTGGGTCATGGTGTGCAGCCTTGTGGACTGTCTCCTGGCTCTAAGGCTTCATTGGTGGCTTGCCACAGGGCTTCCCGGCTCCCAAGGTAAACGCAGAGGTCTGGAAACTTCAACTTCCCACAGGGCTCTTCGATCGTGGGAGGGAATGCTTGCCCCTCTCCAGAACTGCAGGTCATGCAGCCGCTTTGGCCTTTCCCTGCATGAGCTGAGCCTGTGACCACGGTAGAGCAGATAACCTCGCCTGGTGCCCTTAACAGGCAGCCAGTGTGGTGGGATCATCTCTTCCCTGTGCTTGTAGGTTGGCCCTGTGTAAAAGCCAACTGATTTCATTAATCACTCTCTGCAGGGGAAGAGGTGGGAAAAGACCTACCTTTAATTGTATCCCATAGTCTATTCTCAGTGAGTTTGTTGTGAAGTTGCAACCATTCAAATGAAGGAAGTTCAGCATGTGACTGGACACAATCCTTTTATAGCTAGCTGGCTACAGCATATCGTCCTCCAGCTGGGCTTGGCAACACACAAGATCGCAAGCAGCAGCGTCCCACAAGCGCCATGACCTCGCATGCCCAGACGCTAGGGTTTAGTCTGGCATCGTCAAACAAGGAAGCACAAAAAGTACAAGGCGCACAATTGTCTTGAACGATGTTGCTGAGCCATTCTTAAAATAGTTGACCACGCTAAAGGTCAGGTGAAGTTTAACTAAAGCCATGAGCTAACGAAGTTGTAGGACTTGGGTTGGCGCCTTTAACATAGCTCCACCGGGCTTTGTTTTAAATATGCGCGCCCAAAGGCATACAGCACGTGCAGTGCCCCCAGCGGGCGGGTCCGGGCGGCGGGATGCTGGCGCGCACCTGGCGCCCGGGACCCGCCCCTGCCCCGGTCCCGCGCCCTCAGCACCGCCCGCGGCTCGGGCTCGGGCTCGGGCTCCACCGCGCCGGGGTGGAAACCCTCGGGCCAGCCCCCGTGGAGAGCGGTGCGGGACGGGGGAGGCAGACACAAGAAAGTTCATTGTGTGGGAAACTGGATCCGGCTGAATGGGACGGATGTACTGGAGCCCTCCCGGGGGAGCCGCTGAAAGAGGAGAGCCCTGAGCTTTTCAGGCAGCCGCAGGATGGATTTGGGACCTGCGAGGCCGCCGCTTCCCCTCCGTACTCAGAGGTTCAGACTGGTTTGTCCTGCAGGAGTTTGGGTCCGTCTTTCATTTGCTGGGCAGGGCAGACGGGGAAGGTTTATGGGCAAGAAAGAGCGGAGCGATGCCCGGGTGGCAGGGAATTCGCATGTAGAATGAAGGCAGTTTAGGAACAAAGAGCAGCTCTTGTTTGGGAGGGAGCATCCGAGCAACCCGCCAGGGAGCTACCGGGGGAGATCAAGGATCCAAGGTCTGTCACCAGAAGTACACAGTTAAACCTGTGTGCAAAGAAAGCGTCGCTCTGCGGGAAGGTAGGATTCCACTCCGCAATCTCGAAATCTGGGGGCAGATGGTCCAGGGTGCATGGGCCTCTGCCTCCTTACTCGATTGGTTGTCGTTTTAACAGTGACCGGCATTGACTGAAATCCGGCTACATGTAAAACTTCAGGTGCGGGTCTGGTTTTCTTTCATTTTTTTGGTTCTCAAGTGTCAGGTTGAGAATCCTGGAGTAGAAAATCCTCTGATTTTTTCAAAGAACAGGGTCAATATGGATGTCAGTAGTGAAGCCTGGGAGGCCTTTAAGAACACAAGAATTGCCGTTTGCTGCATCAGACTGTAGGTCCATCGCACCCAGTGTCCCAGGTCACAGAAGGACTTTGGCTGCTGTGGTTCCCTACTTTACCTGTGGCAGTTTTGGGTGTTGGGTCTGTGTTGTGTCAGGGTTGAGGGCATGAATGACGTATGCCCCCGGAGGCTGGGGGGGTGTGGTGACTGCCCAGAGGTGGCGGGAGTGGGGAGATCCCCCAGACAGCCGTGCTGGTGTCGGCAGCGGGAGGGGAAGTGGCAAACACCAGCCAGCGGTCGGTGACTGCCTGCAGACACCGCCAGCAGTGCTGGCAGCGGAGGGGAGAGGGAAGTGGCAAGTGATGACTGCCCACAGGCGCCACCATCAGCATCAGCAGTGCTTTTCTCAGGGGGTGCACCGCTAATCTCAGGGAGTGCACATGCACCTGCATACACCCCCTACGCGTTGCCAGTGGTTGAGGGTAGTGTTGTGTAGAGTTCTGATTAGTGTTGTGCAAGATGGTTTGGATAGGGATGACCCTGCCTCAGGCAGGGGGTTGAAGTAGATGACCTCTGGAAGTTCCTTCCAGACCTACTTCTCCGGCTCTCCAGGACTCTCTTGCTTTCCTTGCCTCATTGCCACAGATGTGGGTTTGGGAAGAGATGGGACAATATCTTAAGTCAAGCAGGTGTCCTGCCATGAGGGGCCTGACCTGTTGTGGAGGGGGAGTTTTTGGCAGCTCCTCTTGTACCTACTTCTGTATAGTACAAGCAAACTCTTATTCCAGGAGAAGGATAGCCATATCCTGCTTCCTTTGGATACTTCCCTGCAGAGCTCTCTCACTAGTTCTTACTCCATTGCTTGCCCTGCATGAAGTATGTCCCAATAGTATGAAGTCAAGGGATCTGGTGGGGGCTTTCATACAGGGGTTTCTCAAGGGTCATGTGTGCATGAGATATTCTAGTAGGAATGGTTTATCTGTCACATGCTTTCAAACTTTGTTTTACTTTTCAGATTGGTCAGGATTTGTTCTCTTATTCAGTTGAGAATCCATTGGCCCACTGGCTCTTTACTTTGCCACAGCTATAAAAAGTGGTATGCAATTTCAAAGATGTATATTTCCTTTTTATTAAAGTGGGTTCATCCTTTAGCTAGAACATGACTTAAATTCTATAGAAAGTAAAATTAAAGACCTACCTAATATAAGGTAGGTAGGACTGACTAAGATATGACTAAGACTGTACTTGCATTTACCCTTTTTCCCTTAATATAATGGAGAAGGGCCTAAACTAAGATCTGAAATTCAAACCACTCTTCCTTCTTAGAGCAATTCTGATCTCTGAACTTAGTAGGTCAGTGTCATCTTTAATTTATAACTGAAAATGTTGTATAAAATTGTCTTTTCACTTTTACTTTTTAATTTTTTTTTAATTTTCTTTTGCACTCCAAGCATCTTCTGGTTCTAATAACAGTAGGAGAAATGTCCAAAAATCAGTGGATATGGTTCTTATTAGTAATGAATCACATGGAAATTGCAAGTAGTCAGAACTCTGAAGGTAAGATCAGAAATCTTGTTTGGGGAAATAGTAGGTGGGTTTTGAAAAAAGTTGTATAGTAAAATTGACACACTACAATTGGCAAAATGGTATCAAATCCCTTCTATTATAATTTCCTGGAGTTATGACAGCCAAGATTTTGCCCACTTTGTTGTATGTAACATTTTATTTAAATGTATTGACTTTTCTTTGAGGAAACCCCTAACTCTATTTTTATTAGTACTGTTTCCTTGTAGATTTCATAGACATTAAGGCTGGAAGGGACCTCGAAAGATGCATTTGACCAAAGCTGCATTCATTTAAATCAATTGACTTTATCATGGACATATATATGTTTGTCTAATTAAAAAAAAAAAAAGAAAAGCTGTATAATGTCAGTAATTATATTCTTTGTTACAGATTTGCCTCCATTATTACTCAAGGCTGTGGTACGTATTTCTATTTAATACATCTACCAAAACTCTGTAATCTAAAAATGCTGGTATTGTTACATATATATTTATCATTTTTGCTCTTTAGGAGGAAGTAATAGCTGGAAAATATCTTAATGGTAATGTGCAAAATTTTCCCTTTTTATATTTTTTAAACATTTTCAAGTATAGCACAGTATAATAATCCATTGTATTTGTTTTTTCTGGTTTAGCTTTCCTGGATATACTCCATTTTCAAAGGTAATTTATAACTCAGATATAAATATAATCCTGTACTGTAAATATGAGCTATATTAAATTTACATATGAATTACAACATTATGGTTAGAATGGGATGGGTACATCAGGTTATTATGATTTTAGAGCCACAGTGACAATGGTTTTATATCTTTTTAACAGGCATACTACCACTACTTATGCCTAAACAAGAATGAGGCTGTAAATAAATGCTACCTTATGTCAACAGCTTTTTGTTAGCTAGCTTTTTTTACTGCATTCAGCAGGCTGCAGTTTTTGTAAACCTGTTTTGTCAAAGTTGAACAAAGGCCCCCCCATTAATATGGGCATAACTGATAATAGTGCTTTTCTGTTGTCTGTTTATATTCTCTTACAAACTCATGTAGTTTTATATAGTTGTTTTATTGGTATTTTACATTCTTTTTTTCATTGCAGCACTAATGCATGGACACCAGATATGCTTAAAAAAATTATGGGCTATTTCCATGATCAGGAAGTTATATTTACAACTAGCACCCTCCAGGTTTGTACTTTTTTAATGTACCAAAACATTCTTATCAAAGAAAAAGGAAAAACAGATTAAGACAACTAGTATCTTTAGTCCAAATTCAGCAATTAAATCTTAAAGATGGCCAATAAGTCTATATGAGACAGCAGGGCAATATAGACTACTTGTGTTCTGTGGTCATCAGCAGTTTGTAAAGGATTAAGACATCAATAATACAGGAAAGCACTGAAGGCTTTTATGTAGTTTTCTGCTATATTTATGGCTTAGCAACTCTGCTACACTGTTTCTCCCCAAAATGAAAAACTTCCCCTCCCAGGTAGCTGTGCTTTGCCTTGCTTTCTGAGGGAATGTATCACATTAGAGTACCTTACAGAAGACACTTTCACCTTTCACCCATCAATCATTACAATTGATGTGTGGCCAAATTTTGATTGGGTGTAACTTTATTGGCATTGGTAGGGTTGCAGCCTCCTAAACTAGATCTGAATTTGCTCCCCCAAATAAGAATAATCTGTAATGTGTAGTGCGGGGTCTAATTCCATCTTGCAAAGCCTGTGGCCATGCAGTTTCCTAGGGTTCCAGTGCTCTTCCAAATCTGAAGGGATTTATATTAAGGTCTTGTTTTTAATTTAAATTTTGGGGTTTTTCACAAGAGCTCTGTTATGAGTTTAAAGTACTTATTGATGACTCCGGTGAGTAGTTAAGTACATAGGGCTTGTTGATCTTAAGTAGAAATGAAGGGTTATAACGAATTCGGAAATAAAATTTACAGGACAATTTAGTGTACAAGGTAATCACTGATGTAGGGGGGGTGCAGCCTGAAGGGCCAGATCCTAATGTGATGGAAAATGATATAGCTCTTTTGAAGTCAATGGAGCTGAGGTTCTGGTTAGAATTTTACCTAAAGTGAAGCTTTCAATTTATTACTAGTTATTAGATTACAGCATAAATTAGAAAACATCATTAATTGTTTAACTCTATGAAACAATTTGTATAAGGATAAAGCGTTTTAAGGATTTATACTCCCCTCTGAGCCAGCTGTATTCCAGCAGTAGGTCGTACATTAATAATGTTTTCAGTAATACATAGTCATATTATATCATTGGTAAATGATAGAACTACTTGTGCACCCAAAAAAGTCAGGCTACCTCATCACTCATATTGCTGTGTTCATTAAGAAAAAGGCAATATACTTCTCTGCTTCTAATGATTTTTAACATTTGCTTATTCAGATTAGTTTTGTTAGTGTTTTAAAGCAGCATTAGTCAGTCTTGGTCTTCCTGGAGCAAAAGGTATTTAGAGCTCTAAGAAAACTAAATGTGTCCTGCATGCAATGGATATCTTTCTGTACAAAAACAACAAAATAGTTGCAACCTGAACTTCAAGCTAATTGTCAAAGAGTTCAGTAAAAAATTAGCATAAATTCTTCCTTCAGCCCAGTGAAAAGTGAAGGCAAAGTGCTAGCACTGATCAGTCTTGTGATGCTTTCTGTTTCCTCTCAGAGTTTCAGAACAGGTATGAGATTTTAAACTGGAAACAGTATAAGGGGAGAAAGTGGCTTTTAGCCTAATACCTTGGCACACACTTTTCCCCATACCCAGTTGTGTATTTTTTTCAATTTAGCCTTAATAGGCAAAGTCCTTCATATTCTTTATTTTCAAAATGATGTAAGAGATTGTGCCTTTCAACCTGGTAAGTACTAGGAGCCCTGGTCCTGTACCCTGCAGGTGATGTGCTGAAATATGTCCCTACTTCTATTTACACAAAGTTGTCAGGGAGTAAAAGATTAAGTTAGTAATAACACCATTTAGATTATAAATGTATGTGTGTGTTTCTCTGTGTTTATAGATTTCTATAAAAAACAACTTGGAGAATCTTTTAAACCAGCCCAAACAACTGCTGTCAGATTTTCAACAGACTGATCATCAGCAGTTTCAAACTGCAATGAAATTTCTCTTCAGCAGCAAAAAGCATCATTTGGTAAGTCACTTTACACAGAGTGCATGTGAAAAGTAAGAGCTGCCTTGGATAAATGGAAAAAAGGCCAGGCTAGGGGTTCACAGTGAATGTCCCACACTCTAACATCTGGTCTCTTACATATCTTGTTGGCAGTGTGTGGAAAGATGGAAACATTGATCAAGCAGCTGGGTATGAGACAGAGCAATCCTTTCTAACATAGGGCCTGATACTGCAGTGTGATCTATACTCACCCCCATGAAGTCCCAACAAAGTCAGTGGGGCTCCATGTGAATTTTGGAATCACATTGCAGGACTGGGACCATCACCTGGATATGGAAAAAAGAGCCTTTCTCACTGGGTAGAGAGGCTAACAACACACTCCTCCCTTCGGGGATTGAGACCAGACCTGGAGTAATGACAGGTGTTCCCCGTTGGATGAGTGGCCAGCATAAGTATAACTGGAGAGTCTGCTTAACTCAGGCCTTTGTGATTCTGATCATACTGTCAGAGCACGTGTCTGTGCCCAGTCTACATGGAAGCTCTGTAACTAATACCAGTCAGCAAGAGGTCTCTGCTGGTGAGCTGCAAGTGTCATTTTCTCCCATTATGTTGACAAGTAACTACTAGGATTGATACTGCTGTGGTGCAAAGTCACGCTCCCTAGAACTGGCCCTGAAATATTGGTCTCAGAACCATAGACTTCTTGAGAGGAGAAATGACCTATTAGTCCATCATTTTGCTGCAATAAGATTGTTCCTGCAGTATGCTTCTTCATATTTACTCAGTTCTGGAGAGAGATTGTTTGGTAATGGCTTCTTGAGACAGGACATGAGTAAAAGGACAGTTGACCATTCTATGCTGAAGACTTTCACGATATCTCAAGTACATACATCTTCATGCTGCTTTTCATTTTGCTGAGAGGCTCGATCAGGCCTTCAGTCCATAGTAGAAAAGAATAATCTCAAATAATGGAATCTGACTCAGTGTTTTACAGCTACACTATTTCAGAACAGTAGCTTGTTATTTCTATAGTGCTTCTTGTCACGCCTCAGAAATGAATACTATATTAAATTGATTATCAGAAGAAATATATTCTCTTAACCCTTTGATACCTGCAGGAATTGGGAAGTGTTGTTCTGGATTTGGACGGGATTAGAGAGAGAGTTTTTCAAAGCCCGGGAATAAACAGGACATTGTTCCTTATTACACTGGAAAAATGCTTTGTGACTTTGAGTGCTATGGAATGTGTGGATATACTGAGCCAGATTTTGCGGGTATCTTCAGTGAGCTATCTTCAACCTGCTATCATTAGCAACCTCCCAAAAGATCTTCAGGAAGATGCTTTCAGAAACTTGTAAGCCATTTATTTCTCAATGAAAACAATTAATAATTAATTTTGGTTTCTGATTAATATATTTTTCCTAAATGAGTTTGATATATAGTGGCTGTGGTTTCCAGGTGTTTAGTTTTCATTCATTTTTGCTGCTTTGAAAGTGTGCTTGCACATCTGTACCATTTAAAAAAGATTCCATTCATCAAATAATTTGCATACATCATTGTTTCATTTAGATCTGTCGTATTCAAGGACCTCTATGACAAAACAACAGCAAATGCACAAAGAGCTCTGTATGACTGGATGAAACAGATTTTACAAAAATCGTACAGTGCCAGTGGTATGTTGAATCTAAGTAGAACTTACCTTTTTTCCTTATCTCTCAGAAAAAAATGGCCAGCAAAAGGGTTCCTATTGCATTAATGAAGTTTTTAGTGTTATGATAAGAGTTGGGTTAAAGGTATTCCTTTTACCAACTGTTTCATCACTGCAATTTATAGCAACATTTCTTTCTCTACTGCGGCACAGCAGGTATACTTTTCTCCAATGTGCTTATTCTCCATTAGTAGTCTCCAACCCTTCTGCATGAGGCTAGGCACAAGGACTATGCACCATTTTAGTTATTTTTGCAAATCTTAAATAGGACTTAACATGGTGCATAGTTCTTGTGTAAGATGTCTGCACAGGTGTGATATTCCCTCCAAAGCCCTGTTTGGAAAAATAGGTTATTTTTGAAAATGCATTAGCCAAATGCATACAAAAAACCCCAGGAGCCTGTGCAAGTTCTGACTGAGGCACTGGCTCAGTCAGAAAAGCAGCAAAGGAAAATAAATAGGCATTGCTCCGAGTCTTACACATTTTTTCACAGCTATTAAAGTTCTGCCTCTCGGAGGCAGCCGCTGTTCCGGAGTCTGGGACAGTGTAACGCACGTTCCACCAGAGGGCTCCACAGCAGCAGGAGGAAGGTATCGGTGAACTCCCTGCCAGGAATATAGCATAGTAATATCGTATTCTTTTAGGACTTGATTCTCTTCCCATTGAAACCAATAGAAAAATGTCCAGTGAAGCAAGATGCAGCTCCAGTGACATCTTCTGACCTAAGCACTAATAAATGACCCTTAAAGCACTAGGCAGACAAGTTTCTTTGGGTGAATCTGATATCTTTTATTAGACCAACTTAAATAGTTGGAAAACAATTATTAAGCAAGCTTTTGGGTTCAAAACCTACACCCCTTAAAACACTGGCATTATCACCATTCAACAATGAGGCACATTCCTTGCCTAAGGTCACAGAGCACATCTGTGGGAGACTGGTAAAGAGTCCAGATTTCCTGAGACATGGGTTTGTACCTTTAGCACAAATGCCTCCTTAAATAATACTCTTAATTATCACCTGAGAAAAATCAGTGTAACTGAGGTATACAATGCCCCATCTAATGACTGCGAAGCACTGTCAGGGCTGCAGCATAGTACAGATATATCCAGCCTAGTTTTAAACTTGCTATCTCAGTAACTGGTAGTAACCTAGTAATGGCAGCATGGAGCACGGTGCAAGCTACAAAGCCTGTCCAATAGGCATGGCAAATACTGGCACAGTGAGGACATACGTGTGTCTTAAAAGTTGACTGTCAGAGTCCCTTGCCCACTCCTGACCACTGCAGATTGGCAGCACTGTGAAGACAACATGGGGGAGGAGGGAGACTTAATACCTCCTTCCTCTGTAACTCCACAGTGCAAGGGTCTTGAAAGGCACCATGCATGTGTGTTATTAATGAGGCTGCCTTGCCAATATTTTTGCTACTTCAGGTGACAGAGATTACCCCACCTGTACCTTTTGGGGTTGAACTACAGAGGCCTGTTTCATACTTTCCTGCTGTGTCAAACAGACCCATACAGCTGTAGCGGGGTCACAGGATTAGCATGAGTTGACAGGTTGCCTTAGTGCCTCAGAATAATACCTTGAGAGAGGTGCCTTTATGTAACTCAGCCTATTCTCATGGGTTTCCTGTTACAAATACCAAGCTATTAAAAAATGAGGCATCCTGGCAGTTGCTACAGAAACTGGTGATTATGTGGTTTGCATTTTCTACCTGATTTGTAAAGAACAAAGAGAGATGTGAAGGATCACAGTCTCCACTGCTGCTCACTGCAAGTTTGAGCTTCTGTTAAATGCTGCAGTCAGGCTATTACATTAGGAATTCTCCTGTTTTTCCTCTTCTGTCTCTTCCCTCCACCTGTCTCTTGCTCTGCATGGTGACAAGGAGGGGGTGTAGTTCCATAGAGTGCAAGGACTGGGAACCAGGACTCTTTGGATCTATTCTGATCTCTATAATTATCTTGGTGTGCATCTTACCGCAAATCACTTAAACTTACATTTCCAAAAGTCTCCATTAATGCTGTCTGTTTTGGTTTTGAGATAGCTACAGTTTGATTTGTTCAAGATACTGAAAAATTAAATGTATTTATGACGGTTATTGAAGTCAGGTGGAGTTGTGGGTGAAAAGCACCTCTGCAGATGGATCAGCAACAAGTTGAGCATACAAACATTGGCACCCCAAATGAGTGGATATTTTGGGAAGATTTAAGCATTACTTTCCAGGCCTCAGTCTTCCCCACTTACTAAATGGGCATCACCATCTCCCTAGTGTTCTGGAGCCTGAGTTAGTGAAGCACTTAAACATCTTGACTTCATTTTCTGTCTAACTGCACTTAGTAGTGGTGTACTGGAGAAGTGTTCTTTGAATCTTTATCATTTTTCACTGTATTAAATATTTTGTACTTTCTCTAGTACTTTCTCTGTCTTGAGCAGGGGGCTGAATTAAATGACCTTGTGAGATCCCTTCCAGCTCTACTTTCCTATGATCCTACAATTCATATGGGTTCAGTAAACAATGACAACGTTCTATATAGTCCTAGAATATAGACTGTCCCTTTGAAGGGATACTATCATAATGGTGTGTGTGTGTGTATGTATATATGAGAGAGAAATAAGTAGTATAATATTTCTTGCTTTACATCTGTTACCAAATAACACATTGGCTTATGAAAACTGAATTTCATAAATATTGTAATACACTCTCCATTTATGTTGGCATTTTGTTTGGTTTAGAAGATAAAAATAGTCAATTTCACTTTTTAGATTCTCAGGTACTAGCATGGCTAGGGGCACACACATAAAATATATTGAAAATTAAAACATTTACAAGTGGTGCACACACAAATAATATATTGAAAATTAAAACATTTACAAGTGCTTTTCTACGAGAGCTTATAACATTGTTTTTATAAAAAAACTTAATTACAGCTGGGCAGTGTCTACTCTTAGAGAGGAAACTATAGCAGTGCTTTCTGACCTTAGAGTTCCTTTGACTACCCAACAGAAAGAACTGAATATAATGAATAACAAAAATTAAAAATGTGTTGTTTATATTTTAATGAGCATTTATTTGTACAAAACAGAGTTAAATGAGTCAGCCTCTTGGGTCAGTGCAGAAAACCTATGGATTTTGGGAAGATATATGGTACATCTTCCATTAGAAGAAATTATGAAAATTAGTCTTACTGAAGTAAGTAGCAGAATGAGTTTTGAATGTATTAGTTTTCCAGTGATGCAATTTGCAGCCAGAATGATTACAGTGCAAGCTAAAAAAATGAAGATGAGTGTATCTAATTTCAGTTAGGTAAATTCAAAGCCATTCCAGATCAGCTGTCAACCAAACAACCCCTTCCTTCTCCTAGAATTCAGAAATGTATAACATCCCCAGGTTCTTTGTGTCCCCCTGCCATTACCTTTTTCTTGTGATCTTTCTGTTTTTAAATGTCAATGTACTACACCAGGAGTTCCATATATTAAGGATTATAGGATGAGGCCCCATATTAAGCAGACACTAAATTATTTAGGAGTGAGGGACACTAAATTAAAATATGTATGAGCAAGCGAGAACTGCTCATCTTTGTCTTCCCAAACCGTTTATTATCTGGATTGTTCTTTGTGCTAACTTCATAATGTGAATGGAGGCAGGTCATTTATAATATTGAACTTGTATGTTAATGCGCTTGATTCCTTTGCATTACTGATACATGTTTTTGTTTGAACAAATTAGATTAAACAATTCATTAGCTATGACAATGCAACAAAACAGCTGGATACAGTATATGATATCACACCAGAACTTGCACAGGCTTTTCTAGAAAGAATAAACTCATCAGGATTTGATATGAGAAACACCTCAACTATCTACAGGCAAGACTTATTTTTTGGTTGTCTTTGAAAATGGTCTTTAAGGGAAGTTGATGAACAGGAGAGGGGAATTGGGGACTGCATTACTCCTGAGACAGCTAAAGCTATAGAATCTTTTACTCCTGGGTTTGTGGTTAAAATCCAGCTTTGGCTAATAATAACTGAAAGTCATTGGAATCTCATGGACTTTGGAGCTGGTTGTACTGATCTCACTCCAGCTACCTAGTAGACGCATATCTGGATTATTGGTGACATCACAGCAATTTCTAGGAACCCCAGTCATTGTGCTGACAAGCAACCAATAACACCCCTGCTCTCGAGCAGTTACAATATAGATGCTGAACAAGACAGATAAACATGGTGTTGGGGAGCTGGGAGACTGATGTTCAGTAAAATAAAGCAGCTTAGCAGAAAGTAAGTTGCATCACTTGCCTAACCACTGCAAGTGGTGCTGCCAAGGGGGCTACTTGACAGGAAGACTTTCAGGAGGGACTTTCCCTTCACTCTCCCCACAACCAGGAACATCATTTGGCACCCATATTACCATCCTCACCAGAGAGGCTAAAAAATGAATAGGTAGAAAAAATGATCTCCCTTCCCTGCTAGAGGAGGGAGCCTTCTGAGTAGTCTTGAGTTACATTTGGATGCGTTGTTTCCTATCCTGCAGCAGTTCTGTATGCAGAGGACATCCATCTTCAGGGCTGTCAAACTGGCACTAAATTCACTTTAACAATAATAAAATAAAGAATGAGAGAGAAAATAAACTTTTCTTCCTCATAAATGCTTGGTTAGCATGAACCACCTGCCAGAAAGTGCTGTTCCTTTCCATTTACATTACATTTTGTCATATAAATGGTCCTATTTATTCCCCAGACACCACTATCTGAAGTTAGTTGCAGCTCCTTGGGGAATTTCTTGGGGTTTTCAAATTGATAAAGAATACTCCTTATGGCTTCAGTTCTCCTCTGATTACAGTGGTATAACTCACTGATTTCAGTGGAGCTATTAGTGTTGTACATAGGTCTAAGCAAAAGGAGAATTTGTATTTCTGTGTAAAAAATGATGGGTGAAATGCTCATATGGTTTATTGCTCATAGAGGCCAATTTCATCCAAATTGGAGGAATGTCATGCTCCATAATCCTTAACATATTCCATTCTTACAACACACTTATTTTATATTACTCCTTTTAACCATACTGATGATTTAAAATGCACTTTTACTTTTCAGAAGTAATGTTATACAGTCCTACCAATCCCAGAGGGGATGTGGAGCTTGTGGTGGCTGTGCAGTAATGCATCAGATAGATGGTAACTACTTGTTATAAAAGTGAGGTTGTAGATATTTCTCCAATTTGTATGCAAGTATGATGGTGTCCTATGAATGCCAGTGGGCTGCTCACACAGTAGTTTGTTATGCTGCTGCGCAAATTGTTGTTAAGGGAAGTGCAGACTATTTCATCTGATCTGCAATTCACATTTTTACCAGGCTTGTGACTCAGATGCACTATATATCTGTCCATATGTCACAGTTACACTCCATAGTTCCCATCCTATGAGAGTGGCTATCGTGGCCACTTTTGTTGTTAATTTTTCATAGGTTTCATAGACATTCGGGGTGGAAGGGACCCTGGAGGATGATTGTGTCCAGCCCCCTGCCCCATGGGCAGGAAGTCAGCAGGGATCATAGGATCCCAGCAAGATAAGCAACCAAATGTGTCTTGAAGGCATTCAAAGTGGATGCTTGAACCGCCTCTGGCAGCAGTCTATTCCAAACCTTGGGGGCTCGGACAGAAAATAAGTTCTTCCTTATGTCCAGCCTGAATTGGTTGCGGCGGAGTTTATGACCGTTCGATCTTGTCATCCCTTGGGGTGCTCTGGTGAACAGACGTTCCCTCCAGACCCTGATGAGCACCCCTGATAAACGTATAGGTGGCCACCAGATTGCCCCCAAAAACGGGCTTCAGGTTTTGGCCTCACCAAGGCTGAGTACGAGAGAATGACATCCTAGGATTTGCTTGAGAAGCATCTATGGATGCAAGCCAGCGTTTTGCTCGCTTTACTAGCTGCAGCATCGCAATGAAGGCTCATGTTCATTTTGTGGTCAATCATGACCCCCAACTCTTTCATCTGTAGTGTTAACCAGCATAGCACTGCCAAGCCTATAAGCATGCTGCAGGTTTTTCCTCCCAAGGTGGAGAATCTTGCATTTTTTGGTGTTAAACACCATCAGGTTCTCATCCACCCATTTCATGATCCTGTCAAGATCTGCCTGGATCACCCTCCTGTCCTCAGGTGTGGATGCTTTACCCCAGCGTTTGATGTCGTCGGCAAACTTGGCCAGCCCGCTTCTGACACCAATGTCCACATCATTGATGAAGATGTTAAACAGTATAGACCCTAGGACAGAGCCTTGAGGGACCCCACTGGTGAACGTGCACCAAGACAATTGGCTTCTGTCAACCACCACCCTCTGGGTCCTCGATCATGGTGAGGTCGAGGCTGCAGTTAGCCAGTTTTGCCAAGAGGTGATCATGGGATACCAGATCAAAGGCTTTTTTAAAGTCAAGATATACAACATCAATCTCTTCCCCCTTGTCCAGGTGATAGGTCACCTGGTCGTAAAAGGAAATGAGATTGGTCAAGCAAGACCTACCCACAACAAACCCATCCTGGGTATCCCTCAGGATATTGCCATCAGCTTTTATTCTTCTGATGACCAAGTGCTGAGACAGAGTAAAGGAGAGCGGTAGAAAATGCTCCACAGCGCTGATATTTTGCCATTATTGTAATAGAGCCATTAAGTCAAATATACCCCTGTGGGCAGTGCACATGCATAGGAACATCCTGTCCACCTGATAGCTGAAGTCCTACAATCAACGAGTGCCTGGAGATGGCTGTTTCATAACGTGATGTTCCTAAACACTGTAGATAGGGGTTTTTTCTGTATTAACAAAACTCCCCAGTAGACTTAACCCTGGGTGATACCAAATGCAACAGTCTATACCAGAAGCTGGCAATGTTTTCTGGAAATGGGCCAGAATGACCTAACTCAGGTCCAACTGGTGCTAGGACCCAGTCGCTGCCACTTTTCCCCAACACCTGATCATGGTGTGGCATGAGTGAAATTTGCTGTGATGCAAAGCAGCATGGACAAAGCCCCCTGCCACTGAATACCACCACAGCCCCCTGCCTCCATTGGGCCATAGATTGCTGACCCTTGTACAACAATTAAGAAAAAAAGTCCCTCTCTATTTTTAATTAGGGAAAACATATTGCAACCCTCACTCGCAATAACTGTATTTGAATTGTTTTGTGTTTCTGATATGGGAGGTTGGCCATGACACAAACAAAGCCAGAAGAGTAGTTGATGTTTTATTCCCAGCTGTACCTGCACAGCTGTGTATGCTTCTCACACCAGGAGATAGAGGCATGTTTGATGTAGTCTGTTCAACATTGTTCCCCCTTCCAGTGAAAACAGCTATGTTGGGGAGGGGAGTAGACACAGCATAAGAAAGCATGCTGTTGTGGTTTTGTGGGAGATCAGCTGGATGTTCCTACAGCTGGTGGTGAATGTGTTTACATCCAGTAGAACAACCTCTGGCTGTGGTCTGAAGTGAAGTACAGGTGCTCTAAGCACCTGCTCCAAGACTTCACTTAATCATAGAATGTGTTGAAATCCCAGCTGCGACCCAAGGATCATTCCAGGCAGTTGTTCAGAATCAGTCTAACCACCTACACCCCTGTCCTTTATCCTTTTTAAATTAAAAATTATGCTCAAAATCCTGCAAAGGGAACAGATTCCAGAAGCGGAGTCTTTATGCAGAGGATCCTCCCATGACATACTGAGTCTTTTAAGTTCTCACAATGATCACTTCCCAACTTAATGGAGCTCAGAGTAGTGTAGTGAGATGGGTACCTCTCTCATAACCAAGTCTCAGAACTTTCAGAATTTTAAAGATTACAATTAAAGATATTGGTGACAAGCAGATGTGATTGGGAAGGTTTGAGCACAGGAGAGATGTTCATGCTGTATTTCACTGCCCCAGGTATTACCTCACATATCTGGCTGGTCTTTCATACAGGTTAGGCTTGTTGGTTTGCTTTTATGATGATATGGGAGAGATGGAAGCCACTGTGGCTCGGGTTTTACTTCACCAGATGATCAAATGCAATCACCTGAGAGGCTTCCAGGCTGAAGTTCACAAGGTGTGTATGCTGTTTATTCTCCCGTAAACTCTCATGGATAATCTGATCCTGGAAAGAGGCAGGGAGATTGTTTCTTTACAGTCCAAAGTGAAATGTCACTCACCTCTAGGAAATGCAAGAACAAGTACTTGATTGTGTAATGCAGAGGATAGAAGCTCATTGATGCTTTTCCCAGATCTTTTTTTTTTTAGCCTGTTTTCTCATTTCGCATATTCTTATACAAAATGTGGTTCTACTACAATCCTTCTGCAAAATGGGTTCTTGCTGAGAGCGTGCTTCTAATGCTGATGCCTATTCCAAAACGCCTCTGAGCATGGTGGAAACAGGATCTTGGCAAATTTCCCTGCTCTGCTTCTACTTTTTCTTGTTTTAGCTCAAAGCTCAACTGCTGGACATTGCCATGCAAAACCAGACTTTGAATGATACCCTTGGGTCTCTGTCAGATGCAGTGGTTGGGCTGACTTCAGGTCAGCTGGAATCCTTGTCACCTGCAGCTGTGCATAATGCTATTTCAACATTAAACCAAGTCTCTGGATGGGCTAAAGACCAAATTATGGTTTTATCCAGCAAATACCTCACTCACGAAAAGGTATGTTTGGGATTTCTCTGATGTCAGTCATATTTGATGAAAGCAACCAAAGCGCAACAGCCATTGCTCAACCACAGCTGCTGATTTGAAACAGGTTAGGAGCCACAAAGTGTTTTGCTTTCTAGTTCATTCACAGGCAAATGTTTTGGTAATGCTGTGACTGAGATGGTCAGAAAATGTTGTTTAAATTAAGTTAAAAAAAATATAACCCCTAAAATATAACCTGATGCAGCATGGAGGCACATTTTCAGTGCCTTGTTCTGCTCACTCTTCCGTGTACATTGCACTTTGAGAATTATTACTGCAGGTTACACATTGCAAAGAGTAGGAAGTTGAAAACTGCATCTTAAACAAGAAATGTATTTCATGTCTAGCATTAAAAGTAATTTAACATTAGGGATTTTTACAGTTTGTAGATAAGAAAACTTCCCATTTTGTTTGTTCTGTTCTCCATGTAGGTTTTATCATTCCATAACATTAGTCAAATGGGTGCTTTGGTGACTGGAATTAGCACCCAGTCATTCTACAGCATGAACCCAAAGGAACTCTCTCAGGTGATTAGAGGCACTTTATCTCAGTATGCATCTGATTTATCACCTGCTCAACAACATGGCATCCTTAGTAAGGTAACTATGATCTCTTGTGTGTTCAGACCCAATCCTCACCAGCCCTAATGTTCAAGGAAGGACCACACATGCACAAAAAGATATAAACTGGCACTCATATGTGGATTTGGGCTATATTCTGAACTGATGTAACAACATTATTCCTATTCAATTTTCTCTTAAGCATCAGTTAAGTTTCAAAGGCTATAAACTCTTCCTTCTATCATGCTATAACATGATTTAATTTTGGAGTATGAATCAACAATCAAATTAAAATGAGTTAACAGGAGTCAGGATCTCACTGCAGAACAGCAGATGCTCAGTGAGTCTCGGTTTGCCCATTTGTCTGCTCTGAACTGGTGAGTGAGAGATCAGAGCAGCTTATCCCTAGATGAAACAGCTATGTTTCCCTGATTTACTGTTCTCTTACTATGGGTTAATAGCAGGGGGAGACAGTCCCTGTCCCCTCTTAATTGTTCCTGTTACCTCACTTTAATTTGATTATTCATAATCTTTGAATAATGAAATGTGTCTTTCCTTGAAACCTCTTAAGATAATGCAACACTGTAATGAAAAAATCATCTTGTTCAGGTATAAGCTCTGAGAACTATAATTACTTTGCCTTTTTATTAGATGATTGCACCTAGAGATTTTCCTTCATCAGTCACAGATATACAAGGAGCTTTTTTTAAAGAAGTATCTCTTTCGGCTTTATGGAAGGAAACAGGTTTTAACTCTTCAATGATGAAAGAAAAAGAATTGAGGAGGAGCCAGGTAATGAGTAGTTCCAGTGGTACCCAGTGGGGATTTCTTCAGAGACGCAATGAAACACTTAGTCTAGTCATTTTGCTTTAAGAATTCTCCACTGCTTACAGTGACCGGCCATGTTTCACCAGTGTGAATTAAAATCGGTCTAAATATGTTTTGACTAATGCAGCCCAGTGTGCCTAGGAGCTGAGCAGCATTATAAAGCAATCTTTATGTAAGGATAAACTTGAGTGGGCCAAGCACAAAAATCATCATGATTCTGTCACACATTTCTTCTCCCTCCTATGCTACATATTTGACATTTGTGTATCTGACTAGTCATGATTCCAGATGTAACAAAGTCTACCATCTACACAGTACACCATTCCTTAAGTCACTAATAAAATTTACCCCTGCCAATAAGTGTTCTAGGGTGCAACGAGTTGGATGTCATCAGTGCATTTAATGTTCATAAAAAAGATGAATGTGCCAGAAACATTCAGCAGTTCCTTTAGCTATCAAACTTATTACCCAAGAGCCACTTTCATGTGTTTTTAATTTCAGGCCTTGTATCTGTATGAATTATTGTCTAAGAAAACAGCTCCTGCTGACCTTTTAAGGTATGGATATTAGTCTACTCTACATTGCCAGTGAAACATGGTTTACGCCTTGTTTGCCATCATTCTGACAGCGAAGTGAAATATCCTCTGTTATATAAATGTAAAATCTTATGAGAATGATACCTTTCATCCCCTGAGGCCCCAAGCACTTCACTTTAGGGGCCCCTAAATCCAGTGCCTAGATCAGAACATCCCAAAAAGCTTTGGGTAGTTCAGAGTTCATAAGCAGAATATTGCAAATGTAGGCTCAACTCTGCTTTCTGCTGCCTAAAGGATTCTCAAAGAATGGCACAAGGAAGGAGGGGGGATGAAGAGGTATCCAGAGGAGGTTCTTTCTGGAAAGCTGAGCTGTGGAATGAGAAGAGTTGAAGATTCCCTGTTAGATATGCTAACGTGTTCTTGAGATCATAGAATCGGAGAAAATGAGGGTTCGAAGGGACCTCAGGAGGCCATCTAGTCCAACCCCCTGCTCAAAGCAAGGCCATCCCCAACTAGATCATCCCAGCTAAGGCTTTGTCTAGCTGGGTCTTAAAAACCTCCAAGGATGGAGATTCAACAACCTGTCTGGGTAACTTGTTCCAGTGTTTTATTACCCTCCTAGTGAGAGTTTTTCCTAATCCAAAGATCCAGATTTGTTGGGTTTTCTTCTATCAGTACAGGGCAGTTGGTGAAAGGAGTAACCTGCCAACAGATTGAGAGGATGAGCACAGACTCTTTTTTAAATCACTTCAGGCTCTTTGAAAAGCATCTTGAGTTGCTTTCTCCGTATCAGGTAAAACTGGAAATATTATAGTATGTGTTTAACACAGGTTAATATTATATGTGTTTAACTTTCTTGCATACCACAGTTCAGAAGCCACACACAACTTCTGGACAGTTTAAATATGGCTTCTGATAAAAGAAAAGTTGGGGCATTATCTGCTGATAGTTGACTCTGGGGCACGTGTATCTCAAGTATTGTATCTTGTGGTTCTCATCCCGGTGAGATGTAGGTTTGTGGCTAAAAGGATTAGAAAATTTGGTAACCCCAGTATATAATCTGATATACCACTGATAAATTAGATCATATACCAGTGGTATATCAGATTATGTAAAGTAGGTAAATCAGAGCCAGATGAATTCATGAATAAAATTCAATCTTTATGTGTGTGTCTTTCTGTATAACATTTGTTGTTCAAGAGTGAATTGCAGAAAACTTTCTACAGCTCATTCTTGAACTGCAGCTAACTCAAGAATAATCTGTTGTGTAATACAAACACTTGCATGCTTCCCAACATGGGAGTTTTCATCTCTGGTACCTAGGAAGAGACAACTTCAAACATTTTTGTAGGAGCTATGTACATGAAAACAATGTACAACGATAGTACACACAGATCTACATATGTTGATTCATTTGATGTAATAGATAAAACATATGTGCATTTTTCCTCAGAATTCACAAGTGTCTAATTTGTAAATATTTCTTTTTTTTTAGGTTAATTGTTTGGCTTGGAAATTTTGGATGGACTCCAACACGTCTATCCCCCCCTTCCTCTTATCAGTTCTTCCGTAAGTCACTCTTGTTACATACAAGCAATATATTCAGGCTTTTTTCATCTGTTTTTGCTTTAATTTAACTATGTACTAATAGGGGAGTTGATGACTCAAGCAAATGATAGTTTTTATAAGTAGGTCACTAATGCTAGCTGAAATTCATGTCCCCTGGAAGTTTATATTTGGTCACTGCTCTCTGGGAGTGAAGGGAGCTGCAGGGCAGTGCTCTCCACACTTCCCTATACCAAGGTGACCCCAGTCTGGGGAAGGTGCAGGGAGTCTTTCCCCACTGCTTTATTCCCTCTGGGAATGGTAGGTGCCTGTGGGCTACTGTTTGGGCTAGGGCTGGTGGGACCCCCCCTAGCTTGGGGTTAGGGTTGGTGCCAGTAGGGTCCTCCAGGCTAGAATTAGGGTTGAGAAACAGTAACACTTCCCAAGAGAGGCGTAGGATGCCTACTGGTAGAAGTCCCATATCTAGACTTAAGACTTCAGTTGATGGGGTCCCCAACAAAAGAGTAGAGTCCTGCTCCATAGGGCTATCTGTTCTTGGGTTAGGTTTCTGTCTGCTAGGGTTCTCCAACTTTGGCCTAAAGTTGTGGCTTATAGAAAGACCTGGAATAGGTTTGGAGGCCTGGCCAATAGCCACCTCCCATCACTTCAACCCCATCTAGGGTTAAGGTTGAAGCCAGGAGGGCTAGGGTTGGAGCTGATAGCATTGGTGGCCTAGTATTAGGGACAGAGCTGGATCCCCAGCCTAGGGTTAGGACAACAGCAGCAGTGTCTTGTGGGTATTTGACCCCTAGGCTTTTGCTTGCTGCTTCCATTCATAGTAGGACTGTTCAGTTTCACCTCAGGAGGTCTCGTCTAACCATCAGGAGTGGAAAATACTGTAGACACATACTGTCTTCTTGCCCTCATCTCTCTTGGAGAGGCACCATGAGGTACTGATTCCACTCACCAGCTCACAGCAGAATGTCTTCACCTACCTGGCTATGCTTTCTGTCCTCTCTTAGCATGTCACAGTGAAGCACTTCAGAGTTGTTCCTTTTTCATCCAAGATAATTTTTATATGATATAAGACAATTTGTGGTGCTCCAGTATTGTGTATCATCTGTACGCTCATTTTCTAGAGCATTTTAAAGGTACATGGAGCACTTAAAACATTACATCCTTCCAATCCCCTTTGGGCTAAACTCAGAGAAGAATCTATCACCATAGACTTGACTTGTGGCATTATGGACAGCTGAGGTCCATCTTTACAAACTCAGAAGCACTTTAATTCTTTCTCCAGAGCTCAGTATTTGGAATCAGTTTCAGACTCTTTGTGTGTACCTTTCCTGATAAGTCTGGGGAAGACTGAACTGGATCTTCTAATTCTGGACTCCCACAAAAAGAATGCAGTCCTACAAAAAGTACAGGAGTGTTTGGTAAGCAGATCTTTTTCTTCATGCAGTAAACACGGGGTAGAAGGGGAATGCTAATTTGGAATGACTTCTGTTTCATCCAGCTAAAATAAGTGCTGGTTTAACATTGCTTTGGAAGTTTTGCATTACAGCTTTGTCAAGTCTGTAGCTTTTGCTATAATACAGTCACTTCAAATATATGTTATGATTTATCAATTTGTGTTTGATTTAATAACCCCTGTCCACTGAGTTAACATTAAGATATGACTGGGAAACATGGAGTATTCAAACCATGTTATAACATGGCTTCTTCTTTTCTGTGGCCTTATCTGTACTTTACAGGAAGTCCAACGCTCACAGTGGTTGCAGTGGTGGTAAAACTAGTGTAGATTAAGTTCTCTCTAACTCTGCCTTAAAGTTAGACAGCACAGTGGTGAAAACTGAAGCTCTGCAAGAGCTTCCATTACTGTACCAGAACAGTGGTGAGAATTTTCAGAAAAATCACACAGTGTTAGATGCTAAGTGGACAGAAAATGTGTGTTATGACCATGTTGGAGAAACAAATTTTATCCTAAGTTATCTTAGGACCCAGGGAAGTCCCCAGCCATTCAGGAGCCCGAAAGGGTAGGGGATCCCACTGCAGACAGTCACTTGAGTCTGTCTGCTAAGCAGCAACAACAGCAGCTGGTGGGGTTCATGTGTGAGTAATCACCAGGGATCCTGGTTTTCTCTGATTAAAAATTGCAAATTCTCCGGTTAAAAACCCAAAATCCATGATAAAAATTAAAGGCCCTCCACAGCCCCTCCCAGTGCTGCTGGTGCCCTCCCTCCCCACCCCCCTGGTCTCAACAGCCCTCCTGATGCCCCACACAACAGTCCCCCAGACCATACCCACAGACACTGCCACCCACCCCAGCAGGTAAAGTGTATGTAGGGGGAAGGGACGGGGCAGGGTGGGGGAAAGGGAAGGTGCTGGGGGGTAGATCAAGAAGTGGGAGTGTGCCCCTGTGCCCACTCGCAGGAGCAGGACTGGGGGGTGAGGGCAGGGGTGCCACTCTGTGGGCCACGCACATGCCGGCCAGCCTGACAGGAGGCTCGCACATGGAGGCCGCCACCACGACTGACACTGCGCCCTGTGCTACCATCCCACGGCCACCTGAATGCGCCGCTTATCTACAAAACCAGGGCACAGCAGCAGCAGTGCGGTGGCAACCACCGTGTGCGGGCCACATATGTGCTGCCCGGCTGGGGGGTGAAATGGGGGGCTTGCATGCAGCGGCATGCCCCACAGCTGGTTGCATGGCTCCACGGCAGTGTGTGGTGGTGGCAGCTGCATGCGGGGTGGGGGGGCTTTGTGGGCAAGTGCTGCCACCGTGGAGACATGCCCTTTGCCCCTGGATCCTAGAGGTAAGTGGGGCTTGGGGGCTGTGGGGCAGGGCTGGGGGAGATT